ACACAGTGTTTATCAACTGCAGGTGTAATTTTTTTTTTTTTTTTTTTTCAGTACTGGGGATCAAATTTGGGTCCTTACACTTGCCAGGCAGGCACTTATGCTGCTGAGCTATATCCCCAGCCAACAGTAAAATTTTATGAATGATATTCAAATGTAGCTGTTCTACTTTTGCATTACTGAATAAATAAGTGACCTTTGATATTTGTTATCAAGACAATCTATTCTTTCATCCTTGGGAAGAGTTTTTCTTTTATCTCTTTCATTTTCCTGCAGTATTTTTATTACTAGAAAATTGGGATGACACTGATACAAGGTTTTTAGTGCACATGCACTGTGACAGGTAGCCCCAATATCCATACCCTAGCCTTCTGCTTTCACAACTCCTGGCATCTCCTGGATGAAGTCCATGTGCCTTTGCTTACACCGATTTTGCCATAGCTCCACGTGTCACTAGTCAGAGCCATCTCCTTCTAGACAGTGATGGGTTCAAGTATTGCACGTGGCTCAATCTGGGACAATCATAATTAGGCTAAGAACCTCATATTAATTATCAAGAGAGAAAGCAAAGCATGCTTTCATCACTATCTAGCTCTAATCTGGATAGATAGAAGCCTGGAGCTCCTATCCACTCTTTTACCATCGTGTGGAATCTGAGAATCCCCTGTCTTGGAAAGAAGAACCAAGATACAGAGTAAGATTTGTTCCTGTTGACATAAACCTTTATCATATGAATCATGTGAAAATTGAAGTGAGCTATTTCTAGGACTTTCAGCTACTCAAGGTGATAGAGTATTTTACCCCCAAACCCTTTTGAGAGAATCCCTTTCTGTAGCTTATCAATAGGACTTTAAACTCACATTTAAAATCTCAGTATGTACTCTTTCTTTATGGCTCATACTAATTAGCAACATAACAGAAGAATCTAGTTTCCTAAAATCAAAATTTGAGGCTGAAATATGCTGTGACATCTGGTACATTAAATTCTATATGAACATATCAAGTGGCTAGTGATCATCAGCTTGGAAGACAGGATGACACTTTAAGGTATGATACTTCCTGTATATAGAATAAAAGAATCATACCATAGTAACATTCTGCAAAGTCTGCATTCGAAGAGCCTGAAATGATTCCAACTGATGCTGAAGGACCTATAATGAAATTAAAGTATTAAGTGGAATGTCTTTAGGCAACCAAACACCTTCTTGGATTGTCATGACTTTTATGCCTCTCAGTTTGCTGCTATAGAAAGCATCATGTGAGAGGTAAGTGACACTGTTCTTAGTCATTTTTCTGACTTTCCCTTGCACTCCCATGAAGATTTTTGGGAGTGCAAAGAGGAAAAAGAAGCCATATCCACTTAGGAAGTATTTATTCTGAACCAGATTACCCTTTACATATGATTCTGGCAATAAGAAAATTAAATATACTCACTTTCAATGCTGATTGTGGTTGGATTTGATTTTCTGAGTCTGATATGCAGCCACATTCTAAAACAAGTAAAATATAGGATTTCATTCATAAATTTTATTTTTAGGCAGTTGAGTAAAAAGTGGTCTAAT